TTTTTTTTGCTACCCCCAAATGGCCAAAAAACGAAATATCCCCAGATCTAACATCACAAAGAACATGAATAAATGTTTGCTACTTTGAAAAATGAAAATGCATATTATTTAGAGAAAATGCTGCAGGAAGAAATTGTGGAGAACCTTTCACAGCTAGTGAAGACGGCTTAATTTGCGTTTTATTCATTTAATTCTCCTAATATTTGGCTCTCCCGGCCATTTTCAAACCCAACTCGTAGGGCCAATAAAGAGCCATTATATTTGTTTCCAAGTTGATTTCCGTATACGTTAAGTGTGCACAATTAATATGTTAATTAAACACGTGTTTGCTTGCCTGTGTGTGAACCTTCTCCCTGCTGGTGCACTGTGTGATATCTCTTTGTGTAGCAATGGAACAGGCAGGCCTAATTACGTCTTTAAGTGTGTAATTAGGAGCGAATGTAATTGGTGGTTTGCACACACAACACACTCATGGTTGAAAAACACAAATCATGTCTGACACAATGCCTAACATGGCTATTTACTGCAGCAACGACAGGTGGTATATGCACTCCAATTGAGGCTCTGTATGCACACATCTTCAGTGGGCGAACACAAGCAGTATTTCTTTTTTTATTAAGATCAAACTGCACGATTATTTTCACTATCAAATGAAATGTTGATTTTGTGGGGGACAGTTTTACATTTATACCGACAGGAAATGGGGGGGGGAGGGGGGGGAAAGACATATAACAAGGTCCCTGGTTTGAATAAAAACTGAGACATTGCCAATTTGGTGTGCGTCTAAACCACCAGGCCACCAGGACTGTTAATGATGTTTTAATTAATTGATATGTTTTTAAAGGTCAGAACATAGTGATACATCCCCATCAAATGTTTTCAAAAGGCCAAGGTTACATCTTTAAATAGATTGTTTTTTGCAAACAGCACTCCAAAACAAAATGTATTTATTAAATAATATAACATTTTTGAACGATATACAGCAAAGAAAAAAGCAACAAATTCTCGAACTGAGATACTTAAACCAGTTTTGCTTTATAAAACTCACTGGGTGTTCAGACTATAAACAGCTGCTTTGACGGGGGCATGTTTCAGGCCCCAGTGAGACGACGTTAGTTTGTTTGTAGCCTTTATTTATCCGGGTGAAATCCCATTGAGATCAACAATCTCTTTTTCAAGGGAGACCTGCAGCACGTTGGTTACACATGAAAAACAGAAAAACAACAGAAAACAAAAAGGACGTCATACAACATAATTACAGGTGTAACCCTGTAATTATGTTGTATGACGTCCTTTTTGTTTTCTGTTGTTTTTCTGTTTTTCATGTGTAACCAACGTGCTGCAGGTCTCCCTTGAAAAAGAGATTGTNAACATTAAAATATTCTCCTTTTAAAGGTGGGGTAGGTACATTTGAGAAACCGGCTTGAGATACACTTTTTGTTATATTCCATGGAATGCTCTTAACATCCCTATAGNTATCCGGGTGAAATCCCATTGAGATCAACAATCTCTTTTTCAAGGGAGACCTGCAGCACGTTGGTTACACATGAAAAACAGAAAAACAACAGAAAACAAAAAGGACGTCATACAACATAATTAGAGGGTTACAATTTACAAACGTATTCACAATGACAGGTACCAAGAGTATCAAATAGCATTGCATCCAGCCGAGCTTTAAAATGATGCAGGGGAACCAAAATGCTCAGTTTTTAAAAAAAATGCAGAATGTTCAAAGCTAGAGGAGCTGCGCACATCAAAGCTTTAGTACCTAAAACAGTCCTAGCACTTGGTACATGTAATAAAAACACATCCTGGGATCTTAGGCAATAGCTACTTGCGACTCTCTGTGAGATCAGAGAGCAGATGTAAGGTGGTGGTTTACCCAGCATGGCTTTATAAATGAACATGTACCAGTGACTGAGCCTCCGAACAGTAACGGCCCGTCCACACAACAGCTTCGACAGCTTCAAAAACGGTTTCCAACGCGTCTGCCCATTCACTTTGAATGGGGTGACGTCACGTTGCCTCGCTTTTCGCCGAACTGAATTGTGGGTAGCAGAGTGGAGCTTTCCTAGCGTTTCAGGCTGCAAAAGTTGAGCAATGTTCAACTTTTGAAGCTTCTGAAGCTTTCGGTGGAAGCGTCAGCCAATCAAATCATATGCCAGTACAAGCTCTAGCCAATCAAACCGCTGCTTGTGTGTCAGGGGCGGGAGATCCATGTGATTGGTTGTTGGTCGAGCTTCAGACACGCCCGCCGGCAACCTTTTTTTTAAGCTGTAGTGTGGACGGGCCGTAAGTGAAGGCAGACCTGCCCTGGCATACAGGGTACAGTGATGAGTAAGTGCTTTACAGTTTGTAACAAATCTCAGCGCACTGTGATAGGCGGCATCTAACTTGATCAGGTAATGGGCAGGTGCATTCATATAAATCAAATCACCATAGTCCAGCACAGGTAAAAAGGTCACAGAGACTTTTCCTGGCCTCAAGCGAGAAACAGGACTTGTTTCTGAAAAAGAAACCTAGCCTAACCCTCAGCTTTCTAAGCAGGTTATTGACATGAAGTTTAAAAGAGAGACAATCATCAAGCCAGATACCAAGGTATTTATAAAAGGCAACCACTTCAAGTACTTGTCCTTGCGCAGTAACAATATCCAAAGCTGTCTCCGGTGTCTTTTTGGCTTTTGAAAATAGCATTACCGTTTTATCAACATTTAAAAGAAGCTTTAGTTCAGAGCTGAGTCTGAATAATATTAAAAACAGCCTGCAATTTAACAACAGCCTCCTTAATGGAGGGACCTGCACAATACATCACGGTATCGTCCGCATAAAAATGTAAAGTTCCTTCATCCACATTTTGACCTAAACTATTGATGTAGATGGAGAATAAAAGTGGACCTAAAACAGGACCTTGAGGAACACCATTAGTAATGTTTAACCACTCAGAAGACAGCCCATCAAAATGAACACATTGGGACCTTTCAGAGAGGCAGTTCACAAACCACCCCACTGCATGGCTGGATATTCCAATACTGACCAGCCTCTGCTTCAGGATATGATGATCGACGGTATCGAAAGCTTTGGAAAGATCCCGCTCTGAGTCAGTCCGTGTCGCGGCGCCTCAGAGAGACACAGCAGGGATTTGTGTTTTTTGAAAAACACTCGTTATTTTCATGTCAGGTTTTTGGTGGATTTAATCAAGTCTTGGATTGCAGAGTCAGTGGCGGTGCCAGTTATTTTCTGAGGGGGGCAC